GACTGAGAAGAGAGGAAAGGGTGCATAATGCTTATGTATCTCAGACACATACACACATATATGTACTGTACATGCCCTATACCTTATCTGTTAAATTGCAATTTGCTCCTCATTAATGTCATAAACCCACAGGACAAGGGTTGATTTTACTCATGCATCTGTGCTTTTTGAGCCTCCAACTGCTGCTTTTCTCAAGGCTTTCCAGCCCAATCCTGAACACACGATGCGCGGAAGCTGCCCGGTCCGCGGCGCAGAGCGGAGACGTCTCTCCTGTCACTGGGGAGGCAGCGTGTCCCAGCCTCGTAGCGATTAGCCCCAATATTTACAGGTTGTGATGTAATTTACTAAACACACAGACACATTACAAGCTATTAAACATAGCTAAATTTTCATTAGCACATATGTACAGTTATGAAACAGTATTTTTCTCCCTGAAATTAAATATAATGGCATCAGCCCCACTGACTTTCTCTAGAAGACAATGAAAACATTCACAATGCAGCCAAGACAATGAGTTTTCCTTCTCTCAGTATCTCAGTGCTAGTTTTGGGGGTATAGGGTTTCAGTTAGTTTGGGGGAGTTCTCTACTCTTGCACAGCAAAGAGCTGTATCACAATAATGGTAGAAAGCACTTTCAGTTTTTCTCTTCAAGTCCCCAAGGATTACGTGGGGACCTCAAGTCAAAAACCTTCACTTTAGAACAATAAATAAATAAACTCGCTAAAGCCTTCCCAAGGCTGGCCAACTGTAGCATAAGTAATGCAAAAGGCTGAGAGATGCCAGATAAATTTGATTACTATAAAAGATGGGAATATGTTTCTTTCCTCTGAGAATTCACAAAAAGGGGTCAAAAACAAAGCAGCACTGGAAGTGAACAACTTCATTTTTCTGGCAACTCAATGTGAAAATACAATACAATGTCACAGAAACATTTTATCACATCGGTGCAGGCATTTCTTAATATTCTATTTCTCAAAAAGCAGATCGGGAAGATGGAGTCCAAGCAAAATGGGACACTTCTTTCCTTTGAGAAGAGCAATCCTGACCAGTAGGTCTACCTAAGAGTCCAAGCACTGTTTAATTCTTACACCTGTTACCAGTCTCAGAGTATCCCTACCACATATTTTAAAAAAAAAAGAGAAAAGAAACCCTTCATTTCCTAACATTATTCTACACATTTGTCATGATTACTGAATCGCTTGCATGCGGTATGCTCAGAGCGCACTGAGAGGATCTACCACCCTGTCCTTGTTAAAGGAAAGACAAAGTTTTAACTCACTGTTAATTGCTACAGCCCGGAGTAACGATTACGTGTAGAGATCCAAAGTTTACTGTTTATTTTTCAGCTTAAAGATGATTCTTTTGCCACACTGCTGCATTTTTCCTTCGTTAATAGACAAATTCTTACCAGTTGCCATTACACGGCACTGGTATCTTGCTAACTTGTCTACAATTACCTCTCTTCACGCTCCCTGTGGCGGTCCGTGGCTTTTCCAAACCACCACGGCACGTTGCTGGCTCCAGCCGCGCACTCCCACCCCGTGCTGCCCGCCACCAGCAGCACCTGCTCCAGCCCGGGGCCTCAGCCCCGTTTCAGCAGCTCATGCACGATACTTACAGAAGGGCTACCAACGAGAACGAGCAAAAACAAAGGAAAAAAGAAAAAGGAGCTTTGGTTCAGTCCACTAAGTCCATTTTTAGCAGACAAAAACCGTTTACTCACACTACACTTTTTGTACAAACATCTCCATTTGAAATAAACATAATCTTAAAAGGAAGATTCTGTATTTCTTTCTGGTACAGTCCCTTCTTTGCAATGTTCATGTTATCTCCTGTCTTTAATTCCTTCCTTTAAGTCACTATAATATTTCCTTCTCCTAAACTGAAGAAAATCACTCTGGAAGACAGGCCCTACAGCAATATGCAGCAGTTCTTTCCGAACTTCTGGAAGGAAGACCACCACCTCCCTTACTTGAAACAAACGATCAATTTTAGCATTTCTTTTCATCTTCAATACAATTGTTTCCATTCCAATACTTTGTATACTTTGTATATTCTACCTCTTCCTCCAAAATCAATTTCATTGTGTAAATGCTAGCTAGTATTTTATACTTGACTTAAAGCATGTTTTCAGACTTTTAAACACCCAAATTCAGCCTAAATAATTTCAAAAATTAACGAAATTAATTGGTGAAGTTTGTCCTTTTGAAATAAAGCAGAAAAAAAGAATAAAAGTAGATCTCCCACACTGTTTCATTTAACACAAATAGAAAGGTTTGTTCTCCACTATAAACAGCTCATTTACAAAGTTCTTGACACTTACACAAGCAAAGACTGAAGCAGCTGCCAAGAAGCTAGGCTAAATAACTGTCAGATGAAGGAAACTGGTGGCTTATCACAGGGACTAAAAACTCTTTTTCCTTTATTAGCAGCATTGGTTTTTCATACTAGAAAATTAAAGTCACAGCTCCTAGTATAATTTCTATTACAATCTTAACGATTTATATCCACAACCAAATTCAGTCAAAATATGCCCATTAGCAATTTACAAACTCCAAAGTTAGAGAGAAGGACAAGAAACATAAACACACAAATACTCAATGCAAGAGGAGGCCACAACTTACTTCCTCTGTTGAGGGATCACTTTTGGCATGTTTACAAAACTGAGATGCAATAATCTACCCGTTAGTAATAATCTTTGTATTTCAGTGGCATAAATTAGTTTATTTTTTACACTAAGATGAAACCTTCAAAAGGATGTCCCAACACAGAACAGCGCCCGATGGACAGCTCTTTGGCCGACAAAATGAACAAAGGGCTCCTCTGGACTGTTGTAACATTAATCCATCCATGAATCATAAATGATAAAGAAAGCCTTTTGCAGTTCCGAGATTTCCAAGATTTTATGAAAGGGAGGGAAGCAGGAGTATTTCCATCCAGCAGAATATTATTCATCATGATTATTTTGTCTTTAAAGAAAGGCATTTGATTCATGTTTGACAGGGATGCCCTATCAGAGTCAAACTGGGAGATTTCCTGCCCCAGGAAAGCTCTCACCATGAGACTGCAGCGAACACTTGTACTCTGGAACATTACACAGGAAAAATGAGAAAGACGACTTAGCAGTCTTCTGCCAAGCGTCCAAGTGATCAGTGAGACCACTAATGAGAAGACACTAAAAAGTGTCTGACATTGCTAGACTACAATTTTTTGTGGTTTTAAAGAATTTTAATGGGTTTTCTTTCAATTTAGATTCTAGAAGTTAATTAATATAGAATTTCTGATGTTACCAAAAGACTATAATGAAGTATAAATTAATGTACTAGGGAGGTAAGATTAACAAAAAGGAGCAGCTAATGTTTTCAGGAAAAAGCCTAGACAGAATTTGATTTTTTTGACCTTTAGGTATCATGGGAAAACACTTTTTCAAACTAAATAATTCTAAGTTTTCCCCTGAGCACATCAAATATTTTTAAATGTTTTAGCTACAGACAGGAAAAGTTCTTACCAGAGACAGTGCTCACTTATCTAGACACTGTTCTTGCACCGAGTTACACACTTAATAGACATAATTCTGTACATTTTATACACACACACACACACACACGTAGTTACCTAGGCACACACTCCCTAAATAAACTTTTGGAATTACATTTCAAGAATGACTCCGTTTCTTCGAACTGAAATACTAGGAAACGCAGATGTTTCAGCTCCCAGGACAATGCTGTCCTGCTGACGTCCTGCCCAGTCAGGCCCAGTCTTCCATGGTCCCCCTTTGGGGCTGACACTCTCTCTACACTGCTAATCGAGATTTTTTACTGAGTTAGTCTTCATTTCCTGAAGTTCAAATTGATACGAGTCTTACCTCCACTCTAGATCCAAAACCCAACTAGACCTCTCAAATAAATTACTTCAATGCACTCCGGAACACTCTTCTTTTGAATCTTATCATTCAGACCTTCAAAATTCTCACTTTATAAAAGTTGAAAGCTTTCTCATCATATCAGATTCCCAATAGGTCATAGTGTAAAGTTATGCTGCTTAGACTCAAACAAAAACCCAGAAAGCTTTTTAAGGATATTTATTGACACAATATCTTAGGTTTTTTTTTTTTTTCTCCTAAAAAAAACCTATGGTTTCTGATAAAGACATGCCTTTCAAATAGACACAAACTAGAAGCCAGCGAATGTCCGGAACATTACAGCAAACACCTTCTCAAATACATTCTCTGCAGCGACTGCAAAGATGCACTGGCTGTACTTGCTCCCAGCATCAGACAGGAGTTCTTCATTTCATACATCATTTACAACTTGCTGCAGCAATTTCTCTTTATGTAACTAATATAGAGAAGGCCCTCTATATTGTTGCAAAATTCAAGTGGTTTTGGCCAAAATTTGACTGTGCAATTATTCTGACATCAGTGCTGTGGAGAACTAAAACTATACTTAATAGCAGGAAATAAACAAAAATCTTGTATTCTTATATATAATACTGCATATTGTATTTGGATTCATCAAAACAAAACCACATCATTGTCAAACTTACTGCAGAAATAGTATCTCATAGCAAGCAACCAGTCAATGCACATATTTGTTTCAGTATTTTAAACACATATTTATAACCCATATTTTCAGAAATGAACCTCCCAGGACAGTGTAAGAGCCTGAAACAAGCCTTTTCCTTACAAAAGGCTTATTCACCTACATATTCCGTAGTCAGTAACACAGACAGAAGTTACTGCTGCAACTATTCCAAAAAATATACAGTTTATGACTGCTAAAGCTGTTATTGTTTGTACAGTCTTTAAAGCTCTCACACAGCCACGTACTGAAAATACATAACAACTTTTGCATTAGATCACCCTGTTGCCACCAATGATCCAGGCTGTGTGTGACTGAAAATGTAAAATGCAGAGCTTTTATGTGATACTCATTTAAATGCTTCTAAATACTTGGATTTGAAATTTAGCTTGAAAATACAAAAGGAAGAGGCTTTCTCACCATGTCAGAAGGACTTCCGGACTGAAGGATGTCATATCGCTTCCTGGGCTTTCATTCAGTAATTCCACTTCTTGTTCAGGATTAATCCAGAAAGCACCTAGTTTAAAAAAAAAAAAAAAAAAAATCAAATCATTTCCCTGCCCTCACATAAAAAGCATACCTGCCCATATCTGCTTCATAATCTGTATTTCTGCACACACTGGGCAGCACAGAAGGAAAGCTACCAGGCAAGTGGATCTCTCCTTTTTGCTCCTTAATATAGAGATGGAGAAATAGGTACTAGGTCATAACAAAAGCTGGAAATGGAAGAATATCCTTTAAGAAAATGTCAGTTAATATTTTGAGAAAGATAAGGCCCAAAGGCCAGTCATTATAAATTAGATGAAAGAAGCAATAAATATAGATAAACATATTCCTGATCTTTTTTGTGTGTATAAACACAGTATTTTCAGTTTTGTTTTTAAATCTGCCAGGCAGGGCATAACTAACCACAAATAAATATATATATATAAAAACTTTGAAATATATGTCATATATTAAAACAACCTTTGCCAAGTAGACAAATCCAAAAGAAAAGGAACTGCCAGGTTTGCAGAGTAAGCTGACCCAGAACAGCCACCAGAATCAACCATACAGTTTTAAAAATCGCAAGCATTTTCTGTCATCTATAAGCAATGCACAATATTCGGTTTTAATCTCAAGTCACACCCAAGATTTTTTCTAACAGTGCAAAGTGACATCACTTGCAACCAACATAACATTCTGCTCTAGAGCAAAGCCCTCTCTGCTCTGGGCTGGATGCCTAGAATTTCCCTGCTCCTTTGACCCTGGCTGTAAAAAATGCTGTCATTCTTCTCTGATCTTTCCAAACCGAAGGAGAAAAAAATATAGCAGGAGAGAGAGGTCATGTATAATGAGCAGCATTCCCATCAGGCAGCTCCCAGCACAAAAAGGGAGCAGGGGAGCCGCAGATGAGATCTCAAGCCATCCCTAACCTGGTGCAGTTACACGGATTCTTCGACCTCCCAGGCACTGCATTCAAACTGCTAATACAGCGTCACAAACGGTGCAAGACTAAAGAAATTGCAGTGCCAAGCACAAGTCAGAGCTTGAAAATTCCAACAAACAAAAAAGCAGAGACACAAACAAACAAACAGAGTGGAGATGAGAGAAGGGTTTTATGAAGCTGAATACAAAATCCAGGAAGCAGAGAGAAATGAATCAAGAGGGAAAAAAATAACAAACAAAAAAAACATAAAATCCTGTGTGGTGATTTTGAGTAAGATGCGTTTAGATTAGGGAAAAATAAAATAAATCAATAAAGGAAGGAAGGAAGGTGATGAAGGTAAGCACGTTCTGGTTCTGGCACGTACTGGCAAGAGCCACCATATGCAAGAGTATTCAGGGCAGGACTGTCCTACGTGATGTCAGCCCTCAACTGCCTAGAGAAGGATGCTTTCCAAGAGCAGAACCGTGACTCAATTTTCCACTTTTACAGGCGGAATGTTTTAAAATGAATACTGGTGAAGAACTCTCACCACATCTACAGCTGTATCACTGCAATGAAGAAAGCGGAGAATGCCTTTCAGAATAACTCCTTAAAATAAGTTCATATGAAGTAAATTAATGGACACACTCCAACGATCATTTGAAGATTTCTATTATTTTAATATGCTGAAACATACGGAAGAAAAGATCGGTAAGTCTCATGAATCAGATGTCATGAACGTTTTGGTGAGTAACACACTACAACAACATAAGGAAGGCTATAAAGTCTAAGACCATTCAGCTAGACCTTGCTGAAAGCTTCCCAAATTACTCATCCATCTGCAGTGAAACAACCAGCCACATGATGAAAGACTTCAGTAAGGATGAACTAATATGAATGGTTATCAAGTTACATTCATGCAGCAAGCACATAAATCTCCCTACGTACATTCACAGCAGACTTTCTAGAAAAGAGCAGTCTCAGTAAAGCCCCTGACGTTGCAGTATCATCCACGGAAAAGCAAAGGCAACTTCCCGACTCCTAGCGAACGTGAAACGAAAAGGATCTAATGAAGAGACAGACACGGCTGCTTCCATAGCTCCTCTGCCAGGAGCTCCGCAGGCTCCCCTGTGCAGAAGGGGTAACGGCGGCTCTGCCAAGGGCATCGGGAGTCACAAAACATATCACAGTATCACAGAGCAGCACAACACCAGGGCTGCACAACCATTCCAAACCCTGCAGCCTCAGCACTTTCCAGACTCCCTGCCCCAATCTTCTCCCTCCACAACTGATTTGCTTAAGCGTTAGCACATGGACAAGTGTAACCCAAACCTGGTGTTAATGGAGACCGAAAGCAGCAGCATTCAGATATAACAGTGAATCCTATTACAAGAATTCAACAGCCACCTATATAATTTCCGCCACAGTATTATCTGCATAACTCTATATGCTTCCAAGAACATTGCAAGGATGCATGTCCATGTAAACCATGCAGTGAAGATCTATAACTCTAAACAGTTCAGTTTGCATTGGAAACTTCTGCATGCTCAAATCAATAAAATATTGAGCAATAATATGCTAGAAATCTTCTTTAACGATTTTATCCAGAATTGGGAATCATGGAGCCTATACAATTTCCACACATATTCAAGAAGTAAAAATTTCATTAAAGTGTTAACTAAAATTTCCAACTCATCAAAGGATCATGTTCTGAATACTAACAAACCTCATAGAAAAAAATATACTTGTCTGCATGTCTATAAAATATTTCTTAGGTTACAAAATCAAATCTGATGACACTGAAAAGTCTTTCAGGAACAAAGACAGACGAGTAAAACAACCACCAGATCTCTTTAATTCCATGCAAAAATGTCAACAGCAAAATCACTGCATCTCTTCCATAGCAGAATATTAAATAGTTCATTAATATCCATTTTCACTTCTTATCTTTTCAGAGGCTACTCAAATTGTTTCTGTTTGATTTTACATGAGTGAAGCTCCTCCCAAATGAAACAGGTACAAGTATCTTGGAGGAACATTCAAGTGTACATCACTCAAGACTTTGGCAGTCCCTATCTCTGTGAACCAACAATAGCATCCCACTAATAACAATAACTTGCTTAACTATTCATTTTTGTAAATAATGGAAGTGAAAATTATCTAGTGATGGATTTACACTTTTACAATGCATCTCAGGGATGAAAATGAATAGGGAAGCAGAAATTATGTATATTACAATGGGTGACACACACAACTTAAGATTCCAGCTAGCTCCACAGAAGAACACAAGCTGGAAAACAGGGCACTACAATTTTTAACATTTTACCTTTGTCTAACATTACTGCGAGGTATCTTATATGTATTATTTGTATTATACTAGCACTTAAAGACCCCAATTAAAATCCGAACACCTTTATATTAGGCACAAATAGTACAAAAATTACAACAGATGTCATAGCCATTTTAATTCCAAACAACCACAATAAATTACCTATTTTTCAGATATGCCTAGCTTTACATTGCAGCTACCCACAGAATTTAATACACTAGTTCATATACTGAGGGGGAGCATTGAAAGGATTACCTAGGCAGTCTTTCAGCCTCTCTTATTTGAAAAGCCTATTAGTATTTGCAGTGGAGGCACAGAGCCCGGGAGCGAGCATCTCGTGACACAGGGCTCCCCTTCCTCAACCACCTCCCCAGCACCGGCAGGTCGGCCCCAGAACCGCAGGACCCCGCGGACCAGGAGCTGAAGCACAACCCTGCTCCCCTAAGGTACAAGACAGCCATTTTAATGAAAACTCGCATACTAGATTTTCTTCTCACAGCTCCTCCTCTTAAGCAATCTGTTTTTATTTTAATGTAAGCAATGACTTACTAAATATAGCAATTTACACTAATCTAGGATAAAATGTTACTATTAATACATTTGCAAACTGAATAGATGTTAAGTCTGAGAACAACATATGAGCTATTAGAAAGTTAATTGGAGTTACACGTGTACCATGCACGTATACTTTGCCAGTTGGATAACTCAATACTAACTCACTTCATCTTAAAGAAGACTCTTCAAACCAGCACAGATACTGAAAAATAAGATTGTTTTGAGGCAGGAAACTGATAAATCTGGCAACTTTTCTGGTAACAAAAACAACCACTAAGTTTCTATATGTGTAAAACTAGTTTTCAGTTAAGTAACAAAGTAGAAGTGTTTACACCGTGACTATTAGTTCTCAAGCACTGTGTTTATTATAAACAGTGCTTCAATCACAGGACCTTTAAGAGACAATATATAAATATTTTAAATGATAAAATATAGGTGTTGGCTTTTTTTTTGTACTATGTCCAGAAAATCTGCACAAACACATCAAATTCTCCACCTAGGGAATTTACTTTATTGTTACGTTTGCATTTAAAACAAATGTACATGACCTATTTTGGGGTTAATATAACTAAAAGGAGCCTATTTGTTGTTTATTATTTATAGAAGATTCACTTCAGATTAGGCCTTCCGCAGATGTGTGTATTTGTGTGGCATCACAAAGCCTCTCCAGATATCCCCCAGCACTAAAACAGATGAGAAAATGACAAGTTAGGATGTATCTCAGTACACACAGTATTTTAAAAAAAGCTAAGATTAAAAGCTGTTTTTTTCCTCTTCAGAAAGGCCACATGAAAGAGCTAGTACCATGGCTAATGCATTGACCTTCTGTGTCTGATAATGACAAGTTCAAGTTCCTAGAGTTGGATAAGATGTGGAACTAAAGTAAGTGCACTCAAGCAATAAGGTCTGCGCTCTGTTAGAGTCCTGCTCGCAAAACTAGCTGGGGAGAAAGAACCAAGAAAACAGCTTAGATTTTCTTTAATAACCAAGGGGTTTTTCTATAGTATCAGCATGTCTCATAACTACCTTCTTCAGAAGGTCTTCGATTTAAAAGCACTGTTAGTTTCATTCATTTTTAATAGCATGCTTGAAATTATTTCATGGGAGCAAAAGAAGTCAAATTCCTGAAAAACAGAGATGTAAAATGCTGCTTATGTTTGATTTTTATGTATATTTTCAGCTTTTTCTCTAGTAAACAATAAAAGAATGAAAGATATCAAAATCATACCTATAAAATATACACCATCTCCTCACGAGCTTTGCCTCCCATACTCTTAGAAAATCAGAAAAATAGTTTTACACAAGCAAACTTTCTAATATCAGCTCCTCTGGAAACATCTCTTAAGCTTTTCAGCTCAGAAGGCTCAAAAATAAGGAAATTCCTCCTTTTCCATCAGCAGAGGAGGAGAGCAGAGGCAGGGCAGGCAGCTCGTCCCAGGACCAACCTGCGGCACCTCAGCCCAGGTGAAGCCCCTCACTTCCCACCTGTCATCAATTCCCACGCCGCGCGCTCCATCAGCGCCAGGAGGAGCTTTCACAGGTGATTCTAAAGCTCCCCAAGGGCAAGCGGAGCCTCCCCAGGGCAAGGGGAGGGAGCTGCCACCATCCAACCGGGCACCGAGACCACCCGGTAGGAACGTGAGGCAAGAGGAACCAAAGAAACGAAAAGCTCTTCTCTCCAAACTAACCCCACTCCTAGCAACGCATACCCGAGTGCACTACCAACACGTGCATACGACCATGTGCTTTAATGTATTTTATACGTTCAAGTATTTATTTGATATGACGCATAGATAGCTAACTGCTGCATCTCTACATAGGTTAACCAAGGCAAACAGTAATGCCTTAAAATAAATAAATAAATAAGTAGAAGTCAGTTTGGTGTGAGGCAACAAGCACATCACCAGTTTTTAGCCACCAAAACACATTTTTCACGTAAAAATACATAAATATATATATATAACCACACAATCAAGAGCTCAAGAACTGAAACGTGGCCAGAACGGAACCGGTCCAGGCAGCGCATACAGGTCCCGGACACCCATAACGGCGGTGTCGGCCCGGGGGCCGCGGCAGCGCCCTGCGGGGACGGCGGCCCCGCGCACCAACCCAGGGGCTCCGGGCAGGGCGGGGAGGGAACACAGCGCCCGTCGCGGCACCTACCGCCAGCGCGGGGCGCCGAGCCCGGCCGAGGCGCCGCTCCG